AGCTCCGTGTGACTTCTTCCTCTTCCCAAAGATGAAAATTCAGCTAAAGGGAAGGAGATTTGAGACGATAGAAGAGATTCAGGCAGAATCGCAGATGGTGCTTGACAGGCTGACAAAGAAAGATTTTCAGGGATGCTTCCAGGCTTGGCAGCGGCGCTGGGATCGTTGTGTTCACTCCCAGGGGAACTACTTCGAGGGTGATGGATGAATCTAATACCTGAGATAAGTGTACGGGTTTTTATACGCGCAGTCTTGAAACTTTCCGATCGCACCTCGTATACACCAGCAAGAGCATTACCAAACGCTTTTTGATCTGTTACGAGTCAGTCTTCACGACGGTACTTCGTGCGGTCAGAGTCGGCCACTGCGAAAGCCTCACGCAGCAACTGGTGTATTTATTACTACTTTATTAGTAATAGAGCCTCGTACGAGTCTACGCTCAGCAGTACTTACTCCATTGGCGACGACTAACCAATCAACCAAAATCCGCTCGACCAACGTTATTCGAACCCACACTGTACTTACACGGTTTTCCCGTGTCGGGTACACAACACCATAACTACGAAGACTAAAATCCAAAAAATAGTAGACATGGTTATGTATAACAAAATCAAGGTATTATTGCTATCGCCATCGTACCTTAACTCTGCAGTCCATGCTGCAGGACAACAACAGATGCGCTGTCTTCGGAAACCAACGGACATTGGAGATGCCCTTGGTATGACCTTGCCAAGTATGAATTTGTGTTTTTGGAAGGAAGCACCGCTCTGGAGGTGAATCAGATCGCAGATTTACGCCCACATCTTGCGGAGCGTGGAGGAACGAACGACCCTGGTAATCCACTGCATCTCTGACTGAAAAAGAAAGTAAACAATCCATATCAATGCAACACACACTACGACAAATAACGTTTAGAAAAGTATTTATTCCATTTACAAACATCTAAAATGTATGCTGAATAACTGTAGTGACGTTACCCACCGACATCCATCTAGTCTAAGGATAAGAACATGCGAGTTATACGTCACTCAAGACCTCATAAATTTACACGTGTAACAATTATATTATTCTTACCGTGCAATACCGTCTTCTCCTCCAGAGGTTTATCATCCGCCTGCTTTCCTCTCTTTTGTCGTTTTGTGAGAATTTCTTCCAACTCAACGGCTTCCTCCTATAATTTATAAGACGACACCAACTTCAGAACACGACAGAAGGGCGTTTGCTCAGTAAATGTGCACTTGCGGGTGAATTTAACAACAACACATATTTTTATTCCAACTGCGTATCAGCGCATAGACCTACAAACTTGTAGTGATACCGTCCACAGTGCCAAGGATCATTAAGTTGACTGTACAAACACAAAACGAGCTTGTTTTTGTGTACTTCTTTTCTTATTATGCAACTCCTGTTCCAGTAATTATTTAGCAAAATGAAAATTCAGGAAAATTAAGGACCTGACTTTTTTATTTTCTACTACATCCTATTATATAATTATGGTACATGAAATCTTTGTTCAAATTATGTTTTGAATTCCATTTTAGGGTGAGTAGTGTAATCCGGTCAGTAAAACTAGCAATGGCTGGGGGTTCGTCGTGCTGACCACACGTCACCCTATATCTGGTTGGATGATCGTTCACCTCTGCTTAGGCATGTGAACGTGAGGCCAGCAGTCAAGCTAGTTGGTTTTGGCTCCCTGGAGCTGTTACGCCACGGAGTTAATTTAATTTAAGTAATTGACCAACGAAGAAGTATTGAGGAGAGTCGACGAGCAAAGAAACATTCTGCAGGCGATTACACGAAGGAAAGCTAACTGGCTGGGACATATTATGAGAAGGAATGGATTAATGAGTGATATCACCGAAGGCCAGGTTGAAGGAAAGAGAGGACTAGGAAGAAGTTTGATACAGCTAACCGACGACCTTAAACAAGGAAAGAAGATGACGTTCCAGGAATTAAAGCGAGAAGCCGAGAATAGGGACAACTGGAGAGCTCTTTTTGGGCAGAGCAATGGACCTGTCGTAAGACAGAACACTCAATAATAATAATAACTACATTCAAACCATCAACTTACTTCGCTAGGTCTCGTCACTCTCTTCTCATCAACGTAACCCCCCCATGGTCCCAGAAATCCTTCAATATCTTATGGGTTGTCATTTTTCCTACGCTTCCTCTTGCGTGATGGCCGTTTCTTGGTCGATTCAAAAACTGTTCTCCCTTCGGCTTCCTTTGCTGCTTCTGTGGCACCTATAAAATTTGTTGCTTCATCAGGAGAACATCCAACTGTGGGATCCAGAGCGTATCCTATATCAAAGAACAGTGGATTATTTTTAAACTTATTGCTTGTACTTTCATACAGACAGAGGACAATGGAGGATAGATTTCAATATGCTGAATAAGGACCTACAGGCGTTATATATAAAGCATCATAAAAGATTCAAGAATAAATTTACACTTTTTCCACTCACATGAACAGAGTACATTCAGAAATACATATGCCCTTTTCCCAGTAAACTGACTCAAATATTATATACACAAAAATCACATTTCTTGCGACACTGCGTTGAGAAAAATTTAGACAACAAATTGTCAGGGATAACGCCTTGAAAATTATACATTCCAATTTGGGCGATTCAAAAAACATGGAAACAGAACTGCCGAGATTATCTTGACAGGATACACAGATACCAAATCCTTAGCGAGGGTCTCGAGATGTACAGGTGGAGCATTCACATTTTGAATGCCTTGATAAGTAAACATATTCAAATTCAAATTCATAGTTGTGAGTTGAAAAAGGCACTGACACCATGACAACTATGCAATGTCCCATAAATTCAGACACTGAAATTATAGTGAGAGAGTCCAGGAAAGGATTAAAATAGTGTAGACCTACATAAAATGTACCTCAATTTAACAGTCAGATTGGTTGAAGAAGTAAAAGGATGCTCTGTTCTTACTGTGAATGTCCCTGATCAGTACAAACCATTCCAAATAAGATTAAATCTGCTTGTACTGAACTTGGCAAATTCTGAATTATCTTATGAGTGCTTTGGAATTGCTTACCTAGTGAATATATCGCCCTAGATTACGAATGAGGGCTCTGGGACGTTCGCTTGTGTAGAATGGCAAAATTCTATTGCCATATCAGACATGCTTGCTGCCTCCATCATCGATGTGAACTTCATACACAGCACCATGAGAAACTCAATCTTGAATTCATATTTGATTTATTCACGATGTTTACCACCACCCCTATAACCTGGAAAGTAAATTGGAAGAATTATTTTTTAAGAAGCATTTGTATGAGACTATTAATTAACAAACATAATGCTATAAAGTAGAGAATGTAATGATTTAAATTTCATTACGAGCAATACATCAATACAGTCAAATACAAGTGCAGGCTAAGCTACAATTAACGTGTGGATTCTCAGACGATGTAGAGTATAATAAGCAGGGAATTTCAAATCAGAACGAAAATTTGGTTAGTGGGGTGCAGCATATTAATGGCAATAGACCGGGATACTGTAAGTAAACAGCATTGATAATATTCTATAATTAGATGCACCATATACTTACACGCATATATGATTATTTGGATAACAAGAATAATTTTTAAATCGCATAAATGGTAACATAAAACACCCAATTTACTTTACGTTTAGATGTACAGATTTCATCCATAATAACTCTATGCTATCGCTGATTCTAAATTTTAAAAGTGAATATACGCACCATCTATTGGTGAAATAATGAAATTGTGGTCAGCGAAAATATTCTGAATTTCCATGCTATCTAGTGGGGAAGAAGAGAACTAATGACCCGCTAATAATGATGAAAGTGAACTGCCTCTCCATCTATTGGCGGAAGCATTAAATAATGGACCACAACAAATTCTGGACCGTATACCTCCATGCTTGTAGCAATACGCGGGTAAAAACATTGGAATTTAACGGTGCAGATCAAGAATGGACGTGTACTGCATCACCATCTAGTAGTAAAAATGTTAACTAATGCATTGGAATTTATAAATTTTCAGATATTTTATCTAATCATTTTTATAAACAGAAGCCAAACTCACTTCATTTCTGCCTAATATTTATAATATAATTCTATAAACATGTAATCTTAATAATATATCAAGGGTGCTTTCAGATAAATCTTTTACGAACATCTTGAGAAGCTCACAACCACTACACTACATAAAAGAGTATAATTTATTCAGCACTCACTTGAAAGCACTATGTTGAGAAATGCATACAACAGTTTCCTAGTGAATTGTCTCAATAAATGTATATATAAAATCAAATTCCTTCTGAGAGTGCGTTGAGAAAAATTTAGGTACGAAATTTTTAGGGGAAATGCTTTGAAAATTATGCAGATTCCTAAATACAAATTTAGTTGATTTAAAAAAATGAAGAAATTGAAATGCCGAGTGTGTCTCGACGAGATACATAGACGCTGAATTCTTGGTGGTGGGTCTGGAGATGTACAGGTAGAACGTTCCCATTCAAAATGTTTTGATAAGTAGACAAATTCATAAAGGGTCTGGCAATGTCCCATAAATTCAGACACTGAAATTACAATGAGGAGGTCCAATAAAGTCTTAAGAGGGTGTCGTCCTACAAAACCTTTACTGATGTCCCGCATTTCCGTCATTTTAATATTCAAATTTGCAGAAGAATTTTAACGATGATTTATTCTTACTGGGAATGTCGAAGGTCAGTTCAAGGCGAAAGGATTCGAAGGAAGGTTTTATCTGTCGTTCTGTAATTAGCTTATTCTGAATTTTCTTTTAAGTGCTGTGGAATTTCTTACCTAGTGAACATATCGTCCTAGATTATGAATGTGAGGTTTTGGACGTTGCGCTGTGTAGACTGGTAGAATTATATCGCAAAATCAGTTCTGCTTGCTTATGCCATCTTCAATGTGATCCTCATTCACAGCACCACGGGAATTCAGAGTTCATTTCTTCATGGGATTTACCACCATAAACTGGAAAATTAATGGTATAAATTATTTTTTAAGAAGCATATACACGGAAAAAATTTCTGAGACTACTAAAGTAGCATATGTAGATCTAAAACTTAGATAATTTAAGTAATTCAGATTAATTACGTACAATATATCAATTCCGTCATATACTATTGCAGGATAAGCTGTTTTTAACTTGTGAATTGTGTGACGATGTACAGTATAATAAGTATAGAAATTCAAATCTGTAATAAGGATTTGGTTACTAGGGTGCTGCATATTATTTAAAAATCCCGGCTTACTGGGAATGAATTGCATTGATAACGTTATAGAATTACAAGCAATAGATACTTCCTGGAATATCCTATTGGCTAGATTTGAGGAATACATTTTAAATCGCGTCTTTTCACACGTACGACTAGTAATTAATACAGCCAAGTTATTTTGGATTTAGTGTAGTTCATAGTTTAGTTGCAAGAGCTCAGTGCAATCTCAGATTCTATTGAATGAAAGGAAAAAGACATTTTATCTATTTTCGAAGGCATAGAATATGGCCCTTCACATCCTCCTGGACCGGGTACCTCCTTCCATATGTTAATACCCGAATACAAACTTAGAAAATTCGAAGTTGAGTGAACAGCCTTGCCATCTATTGATGAAGGCACAAACTATTGGCCAGCTAATTCAAAGTTAAGTGTACTGCAGTACCATCTAGCGGCGCGGGCAAAATCTAATTACCCACTGATCAATGTTAATTGAACATACGTCACCGTATATTGGTGAGGGCGTGTAGTAATGGCTCTGTAGGAATTCTCGTGCGTAAGCTTTCTTGCATATTTTATAAACTTTGACATTCGTTGCTTAACATTAAGTGAAAGTGGACTTCGACGCCATCTGGAGACAAACATTGCGTCGATGCTGGCTTAAGTTATGTTAAGGCCGCCATTCACGATCGCTCCAAATGGATGACGTCCAAAGAAGTACTACATTCAAGGTCGCGTCCCTCTGTGAAGTGCGTGGTGTTTGCGATGGACGAAGAATTGGTACTAGCTACGGCAGTATTCCTGTATATTAAAATGAAAAAACCAAAACGAAAGTGGTCAAAGCAATGGCTCTTAAACAGAAGCAATTGTTGTCACGTCAATTTAATTAGTGAACTGAGTTTGGAGCCGTCAGACTGGAGAAACTATTTAAAAATGGATGAGTGTGCTTATTTCCGCTTATTGGGGCTAGTCACGCCTGTGATACAAAACAAACAGGACACGAATATGAGACAATGCATCAGTCCTCATGAAAGATTGTCAGCGACTTTGAGATTTTTGGCTTCAGGCATGAACTATGAAGAACTGAAGTATGTGACAGCTACTTCTCCACAACGTTTAGGAGTAATTATCCCCGAGACTTGCAGGGCAATACTGCAGTGTTTGAAAGGATACCTTAAGGTAAGGTCAGGATTATTACTATATTTGTTAAAATTTAATTAGTTTCTAAATGTAATTATTTTTTTACATTTAATTAGTTTCAATTAGTTCGTGAATCACATGACTGATGATGCCACTTAAGAGGCGAAACATGTCTCATAATATATTTTAACTTATTTGTAAAATACATGGCAACTCTCTATATTTATCAATAACGAAATCACGCCCCGACATTATGCAACTTTCGACTTGACTGGACGAAGGCTCGTGGCAGACTGGCATGAGAATGGACCACGTTTCCGCCACTCACGATACGATGGCGCGATGGAGTGATGGAGCGATCGGATGGATTATGGCTCGACAGAATATCCAAACGAGCCCACCGCGCCACGCCAATGGACTTGAGTTTCCGCATTCACAGTACAATTTTGGAGCGACACCGCGCCATT